TCTTTCAAATATTCTTAAACAGTTTTTTGAGATCATAATCACGATTGAGGTGGTCAAGTTTCCACTTGGAGGTCAGGTATGGCTTTTAGTTCAGTGCTGGCCTTCAGGCCCTTTCTGTTGGTGGCAGCGGTGAGGACCAGAAGCGGCCCTTTGCAAAAATGCCAGTAACACTCAAGATGGATCTCTCGTCCCATTTCCTTCCCGTCACTTGTTTTTCAATTTTCTCAGTAGAAGCGTTTGCGGCGGTTCTCTTTATAGTGATTATATAGAAAGAGAATAACCACAACCACTACAACCAGCACAACGACGGAAACAATGAAGAGAAATAAGGTGGTGATGAAGCTCCTTCCTTCTTCCTCCACGTGAACTGTGTAAAGAAAACATTTGTAAGATACAAACATTTGTACTTCTCTGTAAAATAGCTTATACTGAAATGTAATGAATGTATAATCTTATTGTTACTGTTACCATTCGGGTCCACTCGGTAGTCTACACTAGGCAACGTGATCTCCTGCTGGTCCTCTTCAGGACTGCGTTCCACTGTAAGCTCATACAGCTTGAAGGAGATCAGGTCATGGTTATCTACAAACAAAACATGCAATAAATAAATAAATAATAATAATAAAAAAAACAACAACATATATACATACATATATATATATATATACACACACACACATACAGGGGTGCACATAAGTGGTACGCAGGTCCGCATGCCCGACCAAAATAAAAAATGCACTGTGTAAATAACTTCTGACAGTGCATTTGCGTACCGACATGGTTGACAGCTGTTAATGCACAATTATCATTTTAGATCGACAAACTGTACATAAAAATATTTGAGATTTTATTTTATATTATTTAGCACTAAGTACACTAAAGCAGTGATTACCATCAGTAATTTTCAACATTTGAGAAGATTTGGAGCCCTTGAACTGGTAAATGTAAAAAAAACAAAAAACTTTTATTATTTAGCACTGTCTTTTATTTCTCATTTTTAAATGTAAAATACATAAGAGCAAATAGCCTCTCCAGACAATTTTTTTGTGAATGCAGACAGATATTATATTGCTCTCAAAATTGTTTAGTATGCCTTATGATATTGGGCGAACTGATTGAAATCTTGTTTAATATACAAATAGATATTATAAATTAGTTCATGTTTTTTAGTTAGTGTAACATGAATTCTATGGAAATTTTAGGATTGGCCCAAAATGACTATAATATATAATGCAGTTTGCATTGATTCTGAATATCTGCTGGATTAAAATTGAGTGAATGGAACGCTTTACTGGTCCATAGCACTGTCTTTTATTTCTCATTTTTAAATGTAAAATACATAAGAGCAAATAGCCTCTCCAGACAATTTTTTTGTGAATGCAGACAGATATTATATTGCTCTCAAAATTGTTTAGTATGCCTTATGATATTGGGCGAACTGATTGAAATCTTGTTTAATATACAAATAGATATTATAAATTAGTTCATGTTTTTTAGTTAGTGTAACATGAATTCTATGGAAATTTTAGGACTGGCCCAAAATGACTATAATATATAATGCAGTTTGCATTGATTCTGAATATCTGCTGGATTAAAATGGAGTGAATGGAACGCTTTACTGGTCCAAACCTGATAAATCTCCAGTAGCCGATGAGATGCCGAAATAGTAACCTAGTGGCAGCCTCACTCCAGGTATATCCAGACAGTCCTTCCACTCTTGCTTCCCCTCGATATCCGTCATCACCTGAAAGACAGAACAGCAAATGAAGGTGCATACAGAACTGAAGGTTGCTCTCCAACATCTGTCTAAACAATACTTCCTTAATCTCCAAGTAAATTTAACCTCTCCCTCGTCTAGACTATCAGCATCGCAGATCGAAAGACTTAATTGGTGCAGCAGTGTATATATGTATGTATTTGTCTTTGACCAAAAAAAAAAAACAATGTAAAGATGTTTCTTACTGTGAGTCTGTTCTTCATGTATCTGATCAAGAGGAATGTGTCATATTCAACATTGCGAACGTGAGCAGCGCAGCCACCGAGATCAGTAGACCGTCCGTCACGGTCGTGATCATATGCAACACTCCCATTTCCGACCATTGCAGAGATAAAAGGAAATGTTCTCTGAATGAGAGACAGAAATTAAACTGATTAGATTATTATTATTTTTTCACAGGTTAAAGTTGTTTAAGCTAACATGACATATGATGACGAGGACTTGACATTATTGTAATCTTGTTTATTGTCTTGTTCGTCTAATGGTTAGCTGCAATATACCTCATGCTGCTTGTCATCATTGGGATAAGTGTCTACAAAAACACTCAGACCTGTAAAAAAGTTTGTGTTTCCAAATACTTGACCTAGAGGAAAGCACAAAGACCAAAAAACCTCCATCATAGTCGTATCACAGAGAATCAATATTTTGAAGATTTGCAATATTGATGATCTCTTACCATTTTGCATTCGCTCTTTGGTCAGCCATATTGCAAGGCCGTCTCCATTCAGGTTCTTCTTGCCCTCACCATGGATCTTAAATTGTACTCGCAGCTCCCAGTCCCTGATGTAACAGGGCTACACACACACACACACACACATACATTAACAAGCATGACTATTACACATTATCTCAAGAACCTCTTTGTCTAACAGGTTGCTATTTAATAGCTTTGTCTAACAGGTGGTGTTTCAGGTTCTCTCGTCATTTAAACTCACAATACGACTCCATACAGCTCCTTGTCTGCTCTGCAGGTCTTGTGTCAGCCGTATGTGTTCAGGCATGATCATGGTGTTGCCCATGAACTCCCAGTGTGAGGAGCTGGAGGAGCCCAGTCCTGTGTATATACATCAACACAGTAAATTCCACACACATATATGCATGTACATAGGTGTATGTATGTATACACACAGCAAACATTTGTCCATGTATTTATATTGCATATTTTCTTTTTGCTTCTAAATAACCATGACCTGATCTCTCTCAAGCTGTATATATATCCATTGCGTTTATATTTATATATTATTTGTGCTTCTAGATCCCTGAAGCTGTATATCTACACACACACACACACACACACACACACACACACACACACACACACACACACACACACACACACACACACACACACACACACACACACACACACACACACACACACACACACACACACACACACACACACACACACACACACACACACACACACACACACACACACACACACACACACACACACACACACACACACACACACACACACACACACACACACACACACACACACACACACACACAGCAAACATTTGTCCATTTGTGTGTTGGATATTTCATTTTTGCTTCTAGATAACCATGACCTGATCTCCCTCAAGCTGTATTGGTAAACGCAATGGATAGTTCATGATAAAAGTTGCTTTAAATACAACGAGTTTGTTGTTTAATAAAGCATATGAACCGGAATATTTATAACTGTCCTGTACTTCCGCCCTGTGGACTTGTGACTAAATCACTGCAGTTGCGAAATAAAACTGCCACTCATTTACGAGAGAAAGAAAAGGGCAACCAACAATTACAAAAGAAACAAAGGACACAGTGATCGTCCTAACAATAAACCTATGGTCTCATTTAAGTATTTTCTCTTTAACTAGTTGACTTTGCTGAAACAGGTGTCACTTTTGGCAGGGCACAGGTTTAACGTCACTGAGCGAGCAGGAATGGACGCTTACCTTGGTATGGCTTACTCAGCGAATACTCTCGCTTGAGAAATTCATAAGTATTATCTTCATATGCGTTTTGTCCAGAACTAATACTCGCAAAGGCGAGTATTAAAACTAATAACGCAGATACTCTAATTTTGTTTGCCGGACTGTACGGTAAACTCATTACTGTTGTGTAAATAGTCCCGTTCAACTTCATCACGATGGTCGCCATTTTCCCTCGCTCACTTCAAAATGCCCGCCCCTTATCGCTATTCGTCTATTTTCATTCGTGCACTGCAATAAGTGGTTTACAATATTGCCAATCATTTTTTTCGACCAATCACTGTTTTCCATACGGTACGTTTAGTGAGTATGTGTGCCAGTAAAATAAGTGCATCCTGAGGAAAAAAAATGAAGATAAAAGGGTATTTAAAATGTTATTTTAAACCTAGCAGTTCTAAATCTAAACTCAAATCCAAAAGATGATATTTAATTTACCTATCTAAACTATTATGCAAATCGTCATACCCCTAGGCTCTGTCATTATAGGTCAAATTGTTTGTTTAGCAGATAAGCAAATATTTGTCATTCAAATAAGCTGAAAATTATAAACTCACACGTTTTACTTTAAAAAGTGCTCCACACTGGCGTATATTACTGCCATTTCGGCTTTATTGTGTTGATTTCTTTTTATAGATATTACACAAAGGTGATGATATTATGATAAAGTAAGAGGGTTTT